TTATTTTACGTCTCCGTTTTTACGGCAAACGTTTTGGAAAATATCAGTGTTTCGTGTTCGTTATGACTTCGTGTGGACGGGGCCTCAGTCTCCCTTGTGTCATCAAAGGTTAGCTCAAAACCCCCCAGCAATTAATGAGCAGAACAAACTTTCTGATGGTTCAGGTCCACCAAGTGACCATAGCATTCAACAAATTAAATCCTGGGCAAAGACATTGATAGTTTGGACCCAGAAAGTCAACACTCCAACATAATGGATTATCTGCAAGAAGTTGAGCACTGTCTTAAAGAATTGCCATTTCCTTCTTCTTTTGGGAAATTGAAGCTGATTTAGAAAACAACAGCTAGAGGTGTCCATGGTTTCATAAAATCTCTTCATGCAAAAATCAGAGTAAGTTATTCAGCTCTTTGTCAAACCTTAAGAGAAGAATATTCTGGTTAGAGAGATCCGGTGTTAGCAACGCTTGAGGTGTCTTTAGTTTTCCAAGGAGAACATTAAAAACACTCAGAGAATATTACTTTCACTTGAGACAGTATTAAACCATCAATCAAAGAACAGGAGCAGAAGGAGACACAGGTTCCCCAGTGGTTCACCAAGATGATAGAAATTAATGACTTGAGAGAATGAAAACCAGAACCCCCAGATAAACGTCACAAACCTTATCACAATGCAAAACCAAAGGTTGACACTGGTAAAGTGGGACATTAACGGGCTACAGACATAATCTCATAAGGAAAATTAGAACTGATCTGCAAAACAGTTCTTACAGAGCTACTGGCTCCTCTGACCAATCAAAAAATACTACAATTCCAAGCTAATGGTAAAACTTATCATATCCAAGAGTATGATAATTGCTGGTAATTTCTAACATACTTTAACCTGTTTTATCCTTTCTTTCTTTTGTATCACAACTTGAGAAATGATGAAGGTTAAACAACAGCATCATGAAGGTGTTCGGAAATTTTGTTTGGAATCTATATATATTTGTGTATCAGAGTCAGACTTTCCTGCCAGACCTGCTTCAACCAAAACCTCTGGAGAAAATTAACTGTTTTATAAGTTAGGGTCAGCTTCTGCCAGACCTGCAACAAATCATCCAGTGACAAACATTGGAGAAAATATGAACCCTAAATGAACTTTCTTCCTGCCAACAGAAACCTGATTCATCACTGTTCAAGATCTCATGGCTTTATGGACCTATTTGTTGATCTGAAAACAAAGAACTGCACCTTTTATTTCCAGATCATGAGGGGGAATTTATTGCGCCATATGTCATGATCATAGTTTTTGGACATTGGGAACCAGTGCCCATATTTCATCTTGACAGGATGACCGGAGAAGAACACACAGCTTTGGTGAATAACAGCTGGGGGACTTCTGCAGCACCCCTGTTTCAGCCAAGGCCTCCACAGGCAAGTCACAGAGGTGGGACCAACCAGCCCCCTCTCTGTGACAAAACCAAAGGAAAACCAGATTCTCCCTCTCTTTGCCTCCTCTCCCTTGCCCATGAAGCTGGGCTTCGACCCGGACCTCCACTATGGTGGAGAACCAAGGCCCAAGGGGATCCAAATCTCCAGAATCAAGGATGGGTCATTCAGGTAATCTTTCACAACCAAACTACTTCAAGAAAGAGCTTTTGCAACACATTTCTCCTGAGTTTCAGAACTTATAGAGTCAGACTGGACGAGAAGGCCTACCCTGTCTTGATGAACGACTGAGACAAAGTAGACCCCGGCTGTGTGAGACTGAGACAAAGAACCCCTGGTTGTTGCTGCCCTGACTACTGAGCTGCAAGTAGATGAAACTCAAGCCCTCCAATACATGGGAAAAAAAAGGTTTGCAGGTCTGGCATGATTAGGGACAGATCAATCAACATGTGTTTACTGATGAGTAAAGACGATGCTAACAGGATGGACTGCATGCTACACTATGCTATGCTACAGGAATATGTGTTGAGCTGTAGCTGAAGCTTGGACAAGCTTTATTTCACTAAGAGTTTAAACACTGATATAACATTAGTGTTCATGTGTTCCTCATATGCCCACTACTATTTTCCATAACCAAGTATGACCAAGAGTCATTTAGCGGAATCCTGATATCTATTCGCTGCTAGCTATTTCAAAGAGCGTAAAGAATCCTTTAACTAAAGGTTATTAGTTCCTGATCGAGCAAATCATTTAATAAAAAATTATTTGGCCAAATAATGTTTTATTCACCTCATGCCATTGTGAAACATTCCAGTTTGGAAACATTCCAGTTTCTTTAAATTAATGAAAAGCTAATTTGATCATATCCCAAATTCTTCCAGATAAACTTTGGTTCCAAACACAAGAACCATCTTAAATTGTAATATGTTTTTAAACCATGTTCCTTTTCCTCTTTGTACATAGTAGTTTAGTTTAGTTTAGTTGAAATTCACTAGCTGTAGTTGAGAGTGTTAAACTGAAATATGTTTGACTTGGAGCTGAATGATTTTTGTTAATAACCTTTTATATTTTGAACAGAACTGAGATGTACTGTCCATGGTGTGCCCCGCCTCTCGCCCACTGACTGCTGAATATAGGCACCAACACCCCTCGCGACCCCACTCGGGATAAGCGTGCTAGAAAATGGATGGATTTTGAACAGAAGGCAGAACAAGCCAGTATCAGGTAATCAGGTACGCTAGAATACTTATCTGTCATGTTGGCTTTCAGGAATCTAACCCACATGCAGAACACTCAGAGGTTGGGAAAAAGTTCACAAGTTTATTGAAGCAATGATCACAAATAAAGTACACTGGTTCTGGGATAAACTGGGTCCGGGTCTGGTCACGACTGGTTTTCACTGCAGAGAGGTACAGATTAGTTAGCAGTCTTTCAGTGAATTTGCTGGTTGGGTGTTTACAGGTCTATACCTGATTAGAGATGAGCAGAGCGGTAGAAGGGGGGAACCAGGAGGGTCCAGAGACTGAAGGCAGCCAGAGGGCTAGGCAAAGGCAGGGCAGAGCAGATAATCTTACTGAGCAGGTTCAGAGCTTCTCTCTCAGCTCTTGCTGAGAGCGGGCAGGCAGGGTTCAGACTGAGTTGGATTTCCAGGGTTCTCCAGAGAACAGACAGCTTGGTTTCACGCTTGAGGTTCGCTAACCATAACTGGCAAACACTCTGGCGTCGGATTGTAGCTCTGCCCTCCTTAAATGCTGGTCCCCTGATGAGCTCATGAGCCGCAGGTGTGGTGGTCAGCTTGAGCCCCAGGATACCTAGGTGGACAGACCTCCAGATCCCAACATTCTCAAATAATTTGGCACCAATGACTGGTCTGAATTCTAGTTAAATAGAGACTAAAGCAGCTGCAGCAGTGATAATTAGAGCTGGGAGAAGCTAAGAAGGTGTGTGAAATAAGTAATCAGACCAGGTATCTACGCCAAGATCATGACGTCGCAGTTAAAAATGGTGAAGTTTTAGAGCCTAGGCCCTGATATTGATATGCCAAAAGCACAATTATCTCATTAAGTTATCACCAGTATTGCTTACATTGAAAGATGAAATCCTTTCTTTCAAACAATCACCCAAAAGTATTTTGTTATCTCTACTTTATTATTTCTGACCTTTGAACCTTTAAATGATTGTCCCTCATCACCATTTTCAAGCAACCATGCAGTTTCAGGTTATCCCCCCCCTGTCACAGGGCTTAGAAATGAAGGACTCAAATGCAAGACCTGACACAGTGGATTAAAACTCAAAGTTCTTTTAATTCAGTCCAGGGTTGAACAACAAAAAATCCAGCAGAAACAGAAGTATCACAAAGCAGAGGCAAGGCAGGTCCAAATCCAAGCAGGGGTCAAAAAACACAAGAAAGCTAAATCTAACAGGCAAAAGGCTGGAACGCTAAGCTCAAAAGGCTAAGACGAACTGGCAAAGGGAAGCTGCAAGGGTGGGAACTAAATACTCTAACAAACAAAAGAGGAGCACATACACCAGGTGAATTGC